ATTTTGAAATGTAAACATTTACATACAATACAACCTGATGCCTGCGATTCGGTTTTGGCATAGATCTTTAATTTTTAATATCCTGAGAACGCCTTTTTTATTTTTCATATTTTTTTGCAGGGGTCTCTGGCATTACCTGCTGGAGCCCTGCCCGGTGTTAGCCGCAGGCAGTAATGACTGGCTACGCGGTGGTGCTGGGAAGCTGGCACACTCCGGGGGAGCTAGAATGAAAGGTAGCACTTCATTAAGAGAAAAACCCTAAACCATCGCGTGCGCGCGCGCGCACACACGTACACCCACCCCTGAGCTCTGGGGTACGGCCCATTTTTTTTTAACCACCTTTACTATGAGTCTAAAGTCAATATAATAATTCAGCTATTTGTGGTTTTTATTTCTAACAGGAGCCAATGAAATATTGACTAGAATAGCTGCTGGGGTTGTTCGGTAGTGGGAGGCCGAGAGAAGGAAAAGGTAACGTGGAGGACGGTCTGGGATGGCCACTGGGAGGTGGGTGGGCGGCTGTGGAAGCAAGGGCGTCCACGCCACACAACGGAGACCCTGGACCTTAACTCCCAGTAGGTGGCGTCTTCAAGGAGCCTTCTGGGCCCCATGGAGGGAAGGCGTGGTCGTGTGGCTGGAGGAGCAGGGGAGCTGAGAGCTTTGGGACATTCAGTCCTGGATTGGGCCTGGACACCCAGGGGAGGGAGAGTGAGCGTGGAATGGGGCCAGCTTCCAGCTCCCCTCCCATCCATGCTCTGCGTGCTGTGGGGGGTTGGAAGGAGAGTGGGCAGTGGCCGTTAGTGTCCCGGTTGCCCTGGAATTCCCATTCTTTCCCGGTGTCTCTCACTGAAAACAGAGGTGGGGAGAAGGATACAAGAGGAAAGGCTAGAAACAAAAAGCCTTCCCATAACAAAGGGTGGATGGTCTCTGAATTGAAGAGCAAAATGCAATTTCTCCCATGGCTCTGAGAAGCTCTGAGCATACTTTTTTTTTTTTTAAAGATTTTTTTTTTTAAATTGGGGAATTGGGGGATGGGAACAGTGCTGGGGAATTGGGGCAAGGGGAGCAGACAAGTTTCTGTCCTTTTGTTCTTCAGTCTAGTTGTGGAGGACATTGCTTCACTGGCCCAAGTTGGCACCATCATTGCGCTCTTCCCGGGCGAGGCAGATCAGTCGCCGGCTTCTGGATGGCCGCTCATGGCGGCTGCTGGCCACTCATGGCGGCTGCTGGCCACTCATGGCGGCTGCTGGCCGCTCACGCTGCCTGCTGGCTACACACGGTAGCCCATGGCCACCCACTGCAGCAGGGGCTGCAGCCTACGCTGTCACTGGCGACTCACGGCAGCCCAGCTCCAGGTTGAGCTGTTGTTCAGCATCTTAGCTGTGGAAGGCAGTGTCACTGGCCCTCATATGTGGGATCCGAACCGGGGCCCTCTGGCATCCCAAGCCAGCTCTTAACCAATGCGCCACTTGGCCGGCCCGCTCTGAGCATACTTTGTCTACACTTTCTACACAACCTCAGTCCTTAGGAGTGAAGGCGATTGTGTTGCTATTCATATGTGTGTAGAGCCATCATCTGTGCTTCTGTGTATGGTCATAATGCACACATTTTGTGAACTGGAAGGCATCTTGGAGTTTGCAGGAGGCTGAATAATAGTCCCCTAAACACACCCCTACCCTAATCCTGACATTTATGATTAGGCTATCTTGTATGGCAAAAGGGATTTTACAGATGTGGTTAAGGATTTTCAGGAGGGAGGTTATCCTGGATTACTTGAGTGTGCCCCAAATAGAATCATGAGGGTCCTTATTTGAGGGAGGTAAGAGGGTCAGAGGAAGAAGGAAGCCACGTGCTGACGGAAGCGGGGGAGAAACATGATGGGCTGGGGACCGCAGCCCAGGAATAACAACCTCTAGAAGCTGGAAAAGGTAAGAAAATGATTTTACCCTGGACCTTCCAGAAGGAATCAGTGTTGCCAACACCTTGATTTTAGCTCATTGAGACCTGTGTCAGACTTCTAACCACCAGAACCAGAAGAGAACTGATTCATGTTGTATTAAGCCACCGCTGGTGGTAATTTGTTACAGCGGCAATAAAAAGCTAATACAGGACTCATTTACGTCAGCTTTTTGTTTTTGCAGATGAGGTGACTGAAGCCCACTGCAGTCAATATTTTCATTTTAACTTTGTTAATTTGTAAATTATTCATGGGGAGGGAGTGACTTTTCTCCTGCTTCTATAAGGCGTAGAGATTTTTTCTGTTATTAACCAGAAATGCCTTAGAATTTTCAATTTTATGGGGTCTGATTGTTAAATTGATCCTATGGGTTTGGTGACCATATGCTACCACACACAGACCCAGGGAGAGGTCCCGGGACTGAAAATCTACCTCTGTAAGGGTTGGGCAAGGAAAGACAGAGGAAAGAGTATGGTCATGCCAATCTGGTAATTATTATTGAGAGTTTATTAAGGGAAACTTACTTATGAGGTGTGTCTTGGGCGGCTGCAAGACAAAATAAATCTCATGTCACTGGGCAGGTGCCAAAGAATTATCTAGGGCAAAAAGGGGATAGTCAACAGTACTAGTATATGAATGCTGCCAGGTACAGAAATTACTTTACATGCTTGACCAGTTCAGGACACCCAGGAACCTGCACGGAGTGGGGGGACAGGGGAGGGGTGCTGACTTATGTCAAAAAGAACATGGATTATGATCAGACAATCTCTAAGGGAGGTTTGCAATAAGTAACCTCAGTTCTGGCCAGGGTCCAGTTTGCTGCAGGTCAGGCGGCAGTCATGTCACGGAATAGTGTCTCCTCCACACCCTATTTTCTTGAATCACAATTAAGGATTCTGATCTGATACAAGTGAGTGCGTTTATGAAGACAACCCAAGAGAGGCTGTCCCATATAACCTGGGACAAATAATCCTCATTATAATACATGGTCAAAACACGCTCTCCTCCCCTCCAGCTCCCTTCTCACTTTCCCCCACAAGGAAGGCAAAGGGGTTGGAAACTTGCCCCAAGGGTTTTCAGAAGATCCTGCTGATTTCTGAACCAGAACAGACTTTGGAAAGGCCTTCTGGGTCTAAAAAGTGAAGACTCATTGCTTCAATCCTTGCAATAAACATCCTGGATGACTTTCACCTCAAACCTCAGAGGATGTTGAGATACTTCAGAACATTCTGTGCCTCGTCTATTTCCTATCAGTTGGTGGAGAAATTGAACCAAATGCACGGGAGATAGTGAGAACAGGACAGTGTATGGGGAACTGAGGGAGGTGGGAAAGGTAGCCATTGCTTTGTGAGTACCACTGCAGAGTTGGGGACTGTGGCTGACTGTTGGGTCTGGGAATTAGTGCTTGAAAGGGCTATTCAAACAATTCTGTGGCTCCGTGGTAGAGTTTTCCCATAGCGAGACGTGAAGTTATGTAAATTCCTCATTATGGATCACAAGATCAGCAGTTGCACTTCAGCATGGGCAGAGGCGGATTGCATGATTTCACTTCCTCTCTTCGGCTATATTAAGGTGCGGGCTGCCCTGTGCTATTTAGTGACTGGGATCCCAACCAAGGCAGGTCAGCTGGGACTGATGTGTTTGATGTCTTTGACCACAGAGAGGGTGTAGAGAGGACTTGATTATTCCCATGCCCATCATCCTGGCATGATGATGGTATTTGGTGAGATTTTCCTGCTTGGGCAAATTCACACCCTTGAAACTTACTTGGCTTGACCCCAAATTTATAGCTCACTCTTTAATCTTACCATGGCAAAACTTGGAACAAAAACAAAGATTCCCCACTCCACTGGTCCTTGGAAAAAGAATAAACATGAATACAATGTAACATTTACTCTGTGTCCATCAAATTCCATTGGGGGTATTCACAGCTTCCATAAGAAAGTCTCCCTTCATGATGTTATCTATGCCATTAATACAGCGTTCTCACCTGTGCTCCCCCCCCCACGTGCCTGTACCTCAGTTTGCTCTTTTTAAAACTGGATGATGGATTTGACCATCTCTGAATTTCCATCTAGCTTCAATATTGTGTTTTTCTCAGATTTTGTTTACCCAGTCTGAGTGGTGACCCCTGAGAGAGTTACCTGCCTGGTTTGCAAAAGAATAAATCCAGGGCCAGTGGGTCCTTTTGACTGAGCCATTTATTCTAGATATGAAATGTCTAAGATTTCTGTAAAAGAGTTTCTGCACCTGGCTTTTCACCTGGAAGAACCTCAATATCTGAATAAATTGGACAGGAAGTGTTGTTAAGGTTAGTAACATAGATTTTTAAGGATATTTGGAAAAGTGTTCTTGTCTTCCACCCATCAAAAGGGGATCTATATTACACCTCTGCCTAAACTATGTGACATAGCTCAACATATAGGCAAGAAGACTCGGAGACCCAGAGGGTTCAAGTCCCAGCCCCATGCCTTCTTGGACCTGGCTAAGTCTTTACCCTCCCTCACTTGGCTGCCTGTTCATATCAGGGAGGGCACTGGACCAAAAAGTCTTTATAGCCCCATCTAGTCCGGACAGCAGGGATTTGAATCAGCAAAGTGGGGAGGCCGGGCCGAAGTAGTTGGCCGCGTGTGTCTGTGGGGCAAGCTCCCCTGGACCCTCTAACTTCAGGGGCGTGGCTCGTGAGGGCAGAGAGGAGTCGTCACTATCACCTTTGGGCCTGTTACAGGAGGTTAGGGGACATATGTCTTGTACAGACATGACTTAGGACCAAATTCTCATTTTTGAAGTACAAACTATTCAGTTAGGTAAATTCCACACATTACAATAAAGATTTGGAAATCACCCCCTTCCTTCACTTAACAATGAAAAGTCATCTAACACTGGGAGCCAGAGACTCATAAGCTTAACCTTCCTTCGATCCCAGAAGGGTCCCAAGGGGGAAACATCCACTATCCTACTGGTCAGAGACCAAAAGGCCTCCTCTCCTTTAACAGGGCCACTGTAGGGCAAAGTACACATGACTTTAAAACAACCTCTCAGCCAGAAGGACGTGAGTCTTAGCGAGTCACAAAAAAATAGGGAAACTTACGCAGAGTTTCCTTGGCCACTTCCCCATCTGAGTGATCACATACCCAGCACTATAGCCCGGGGTGCTCCCCTGTGAGGAGGGAAAAGGTGTGTCCACTGCCACTCAGCTGGAGGGAGTGACACAAGCCTGATTGGGAAGTCCCAGGAGGACGGGGATATAAATCTGTGCCCTAAATGCTGAGCTTCCACTGAGGTGAAAGTCAGGCCTGGCAGCCCTCCCCAGGTGAGAAGCAACAAGGTGAAAAATGCAGAGCTGCAGGTAAGAGGCTTGAGAGAGAGAGAGAGTGAGAGAGAGAGAGAGAGAGAGAGAGAGTCTGGGAGTCGGGACCCCTGGGCTCCATTTCTGGATGGAATCCTCAGGCAGCTCTCCTGATGTTTCTAGACCTCAGGTACCTCCTCTGGGTGACAATCCTCATCTCCGTGGCCTTCTCCATCTGTGTGAAGGTGACCTTGACTTTTTAAGCCTTCAGTTTCTCTATCTGTCACAAATTGGGCTGAATCAGAGGGTGTCTGAGGACCTCCTCAGAGGCAAAGCAATAGGCAAAAATGCCATGGAGTCCAGTAGAGGAAATGACTTGCCGTCAGCAGGTGTCCACCTCATGAGAGGCTTCCAAAGAGATCTTCTTTGGAAGGATCATGAGATTTTCATGGGATCTTTTTTTTTTTTTAAAGTAAGTGCACTTTTCTAACACTGAGCTTGGCTGTCTTGGAGGTATGATGAGTATAGCATGGTGGGAAAGTGTGAGCCCTGAGGCTAAAGTCTGGGTTCAAGTCCCGAGGCTTTGAGACTTTGACTCTTCCTAGCTGTTTGATGTCACGTACGTGTTCATCACATACTCGTAACTGTCTTTAAGATATTCTGTTCTCTAGTAAATAAGGAGTACTGCCTGAGTAGAGGTCATCTACCCAGTGGCCATGAGCTTGTCAGTCATCAGCAGCCAGGAGGCATGGAGCTAACCTTTATCCCTTGCTTCATTCTCATGAAATAATAACTAGGCACAATTCTTTTATGTTTTTTATTTTTTTGTTTTTATTTTATTTTTTAAAAAGATTTTATTGGGGAATTGAGGGAGGGGAACAGCATTGGGGAATCAGGGAAGGGGGAAGAGACAAATTGCTGTCCTTCTGTTCTTCAGTGTAGTTGTGGAGGACGTCACTTCACTGGCTCATGTTGGTGTTATCATTGCGCTCTTCCCGGGTAAGGCAGTCACTCGCCGGCCTTTGGACGGCTGCTCACGATGGCTCATAGCAGCTCACAGAAGCTCACGCCCGCTGCTGGCCAGCCCCACTGCTGCCTATGCCTTCGCCGGCGACTCATGGCAGCCCAGCTCCAGGTTGAGCTGTTGTTCACCATCTTAGCTGTAGTGGGCACAATGTCACTGGCCCTCATATGTGGGATCCGAACCGGGGTCCTGCTGTTCAGAGCTGGTGTCCCAAGCCAACTCCTAGCCAACATGCTACTCAGCTGGCCCCTGAGCACAATTCTTTTAAAAAATTATTTTAACCCTCAATTATAATGAAACAAATTGCACAATTTATTTTTACCTACCCAGTGTCTCAGGTTCCCCATTGGTACATAGTGATATTGATGGTGAGAAGGACCACAGGTGGGTGGGAAGAGGCCATGAATCTGAATCATGGTAAAGACTTAGTGCTGTGCCTGGCAAAAGGTGGGGGCTGCCTCCATGTTTGCTCTCAGTATCGGACATTCTCCCTCTTCAATCCCACTCCCCTTGAATCCCACTTTCCTCTTCTTGGAACCCTAGCTCCCTTGAAAGACCCCTACCTCCTGGCCCCAGCTTTGCCTCTACCATGGTGTGATGTTGGTCAAGGCTCACCATCTCTGAGTTTCCTCTTTTGTAAACTGAGGCAGTTGAGTGGCTTGAACGTCCCAGCCCTTCCCAGCAGCTCAGTGTCTGTGGTGGGATACTGCGGCTCTCCCTCCTGGTGGTCCATCCCCCAGCCCCCAAGCTTATCCTCTCCCTGGCCCATTTCTCTGAGCTCCACCATCCCAAGAGGGCAGTGGGTTCCTTCCCACCAACTCGGTGTAGTATTTCCACACGTGCAATAGGAGACCCCGCCCTCAAACCTCATCACAGTTTTGTCCATTTTAATTGTATTTTTCATTCGTTTATAGCTGCTTTGGTTATCCTAAAAGGCGAGAAGGAAGTCCCTGTCCCACTTGTTCCCAGTTGGCCTGGGGGCCTCTTCCACACCCCAACAGCAGGCCTGCCTCTCAACATCACCACTTCCACCCCAACCTCCAAGGCCCAATTGTTTGACGACAAACAACTGAGTGATCCAGAAGGTTCACAGGCCCGCCTCCCCTGCTCCTCCCCCAGGATCGCAGAGTCCACTCTAGTGACAACACAACTGAAATAGTGCAAAGAGTTTAGATTTGGGTTGTCGTTTTAATGTCATCATCGCCTGCTCTGTATATGGGGACACTAGATTGTGACAGTGCCTTCGGCCAGTGGTTCTCAGACTTGAGCCTACAGCAGCATCACCTGAAGGGCTTATTAAAACACATCATTACATCCTCTCAGAATTTCTGATTTCACAGATATGTGTGTGTGAGTGTGTGGTGAGGACTAACATTCCTAATAAGTTCCCGGGTGATGCCGATACTGCTGGTCTGGGGACCACACTTTGAGAACCACTTCCTGAGGAGATAAGAGGACTTCCATGTCCAGTGGCAAACCTACGAGTGAGTGATTTCAGGACAAGAGACTTTTGGGGCTGTTTTCAAAACAGAACTCACAGAGACCTTCTACTGGGTTTGATGAGTGCTAGAGGAGGGGACGTCTTAAATAGGATTATTCTATTTAACAGATGGAGAAGTAGGCACAGTAGGAACACGTGAGCCTGTCAGTGACTGCAACTTGACCTCAGTCTCCTATCGATTTTGTTCTCCAGCCACGAAGAAGTGTTGTTTAAAAGAGGAAGGGAGAGGGCAGCACAAAGATGAAAGGAATATGAAAGTTTCTGTGGTCAGCTGATGAGCCAAACCCAGTGGAGCTCCCCCAAAATAATGGTGGGTTAGTGTTGATTCTCCAGCACCTCAGAGTCCCTGCTCCAATGGTTCTCAGCCCCGGCTGAGCATTAGAATCACCTAGGGAGCTTTTAAAGATCCCAGTACCTGGGACCAATTATATCAGGAACCTAGGGGTTGGAGCCCAAGCATCAGTTGTTTTTGAAGCTTCCCAGGCAGTTCCGATGTATAACCAAGGCTGAGATCCACTGCCCTCCCCACTGTCCCACCCTTTCTAAGCTACTCAGAGACTTACTTTTTTCAAAACTTGTGTTCTGAACCTGTCATTTATCTGATGATTGTCATTAGCTAAATGGGCATTTGAGTCACTGGTATTAATAGCACAATCGGGAAAGAAGTCTGAGAATCTCCATGGAACTTCATCTAAGCGTTTCTGAAACATACTTTAGGTAAGAACCTCTGTTTCATATGCAGCATAAGTAATTTCCTAAACACAAGGAGGCAAATAATTGTGGCACTTGATTTTGGGGCAAGGAGCCCAGTTTAAAACCTGGATATTATCTTGCTGTGTGACTTAGGAATGTAACTTCATGTTTCTGGATTTCAGTTTCATTCATCAGATGAAAGGAAGAGATTAGAGAACAGGCTTCTTTGCTATTTTAAAGATCTCTGTAAAGTATTCATACCACACAAATTTTTCATGAAATATCAAGAGGAAATTTAAGAATACTTGGACTTGATTGGAGATTGCAAACCTGCATGCATTCAGGGGCCATGCAGTAGGTCAAAACTGTGGCCAACTGGAAGGAGGTTGTCCCTGGGAAAAGACGTTCAGTGAAAAATAACACCTACAATTTTTTTCTAAAGATTTTTATTGGGGAATTGGGGAGGGGAACAGTGTTGGGGAATTGGGGAAGGGGAACATTGTGTTTTTCCAGGACTCATCAGCTCCAAGTCAAGTTGTTGTCCTTCAGTCTTAGTTGTGAAGGGCACAAGCTCAGCTCCAAGTCCAGTTGCTGCTTTCAATCTTAGTTGCGGGTGGGTGTAGTCCACCATCCCATGCAGGAGTCGAACCAGCAACCTTGTTGCACACTGAGCCATCCGGCTTCCCATTAGCAGCTTGCTGCTGCTCAGCTTAAGGTGCCATTTTCAATCTTAGTTGCAGGTGGGTGCAGTCCACCATCCTATGTGGGAGTTGAACTGGAAACCTTGCTGCTAACAGCATGCACTCTCACCATCTCACTGGCAGCTCAGCTTGGGCACAGCTCACTGGCCCGTGTGGGAATTGAACCAGTGACCCTGTTGCTCAGAGCTTGCACTCTTAACCAACTGAGCCACTCGGCTGGCCCAACACCTACACTTTTGCTGAATGATGCCCATTCACAGGTTGAACTGGACTGTGATTCCCATTTTGTGAGCTTTGACATCTTGCAACAAAATGCTTATTTAATCCTAAATTAAAGGGATGAGAATCAAATCGTGACCCACCACTCCTATTTGTGTTCTAGTGGAGGAATTACACTTCTGTAAGCCTCAATGTCTTCATCTCTGAAATGAAAATAACAGCAGGTAGTTCATAAAATGTTGGGAAAAATGAAAAGAAATAGTACGTTTCAAACTTTTGCCTACCACCTGGCACATGGTGGATGTTCAGTGTTAGCTGTCATCACCTTCAATGTCATCACCATGGTCGTGATCATCATCAGAATATGAGGTTCTGACAGCAACATTTCAGAAACCACTCTGAGAGGGCTGGGGTGATCAGGCACAGGGATCTAATATTGTCTGTGCTCTCCTTCCATGTAGGCATTTGCCTACTTTATTGAAGAATAAGCCAGTGCTAACTGATCAGTTTCTCAAATCCCCTGGGAGTCTTGTTATAATGCAGATAGATCTGACTCCCCAGATCTAAGGTGGGGCCTGAGATTTTTTTGCATTTCTCACAAGTGACATCCATGCTGCTGGTCCATACGTTACACACTTTGAGCTGCAAGGCTTTAGAATATTAGGACAGAATTTTTCTTATTTGGGAGCAAGGAAAAAGTTAATGTAAAGCTTTGGATGGGTCCTAAATTTTTTAGTGCTGATATTCATCAGAAAGTTTTCTTAAATGTCTATGGTAGGCAGAATTCTAAGATGACCCCCCACTGATCTACACCCTTGTCTAAGCCCCTCCCCTTGAATGAGGGTGGGCTATATGAATATGATGGGATGTAACTCCCATGATAGGGTTACCTTATATGGCAAAGGTAAAGGAATGTTGCAGA